ACGAGGCGGGTTCTTCTTTTGGTAGAATTAACGATGATAATGTAGAAGTTCCTGCTGATGACAACTCTCTTGTCGACACAACTTTTGTGTCTCTTTGTGATAGTGGTAACAGTAAATTAAGTAAGGCTGATAGTTGGTTGGAATCCATTCTGCCTTGGGGTAATGCTGATTGTCATTCTGGGGAATGTGATGTGGGTTCAACTGTTGGGTATGAGATGTTAGCAGACACTTCGCTGGGTGCCCCTTACTCCGCATGCACGGAATGTTGTGATGACGGCTCGGAGGCGCATATCCCACTCTTAGAAGAGTTTGAAGAAGAGGATGAGCCTCTTCTTCCCTTTGCGCCTCCGGAAATCCATCACAACACCCCTAATTTTTTAGCTATTCAAGTGTTGATGGATCAAAATGCGGATGACACACCTGTTTTGCCCGTTACCTCCGCGCTTGAAACCACGCCCGTGTTGCAAGCTGTAAATGCTCTCCACGAAGAAGATACATGTACTGATGATGAATACCTCGACCTGACCATCCCTAATGTTTCTGCCCGTTCAAGTGGTTTTTACGTTTCGGGTACCTTTAACTTTCCTAATCCAGATGCTAGTGCAACCACTCCTGTTCATGTCAGCCGTATCCTTGTTGATACGGGTGCCGCAGTTTCACTCGTGAAAGAGAGTGTCCTAAAACAGTCTGATGTTCATCCGGACTCCCATAGTGCTGAAGACGTATTTGGTGTAAGACGTCTGTATTCTGCAGAGGGCCGCCCCATGGAATTTTCGGGAGCCGTGACCTTTACCCTGCAGTTGGACCATTCCAGCACCCCTTTACAATTTTCAGCTATCATAGTCCCTAATTTGCATGAAGACTTTTTGTTGGGCGCTGACGTCCTAGTGAAGTATGGCATAGTTTTAAACTTGAGTAATTGTACGATGACCTGGAGTGGGAGTTCGACCCCACTCGTCCCGTACATCCCCCACAGAACTGTGGAGCCACAGGCCCCAGTCGAAGGTAGTGATGTCATTTTGCAGGAGCATGTACACATTCCAGCTCGTTCCGAAATGATTGCTATTGGCAGAATTGCATGCTCATTCTCTACTGGATTGGTAGAGCGAATGCCCTCCCCCTCATGTAGCTCTGTGTTAGTTGGTTCCACCTTGGTCAGGTCGAGTGTTGCCGGCGAAGTTCCTGTTCGCTTGCTAAATCCATCAGATTCCCCAGTTGTATTGCGTGAGAATCATCCAATCGCCACTTGGCATGGAATGGACACTTTTTCGTTCGCTGAGTTGGACGATATTTCGCCCACAGGACATCCTGTGGATGGCGCGGTTGATCCATCAACTTCAAATACTGTATCCTCCGGAGAGAGACAGTGCCTCCCAAACCTCTCTCCGAGACAGTGCCCACCCAATAATGTTATTGTTGACTCGGAGGTCCAGTTCCACGGAACTAGGCCTCCAGAATTTTGCCCTGCAAATTCATATGACCCAATTGCTGAGAGTGATTCTAGTGCTACAGGAAGGTTGTTCCATGGCACTCGCCCTCCAGAACATGATTTTTGCCATAATGTGCACACTGATACCCAGCAATCGGTTGACATGTCCAAATTCTTTGATTTATCAGACTGTTCAGCTTCCGCTGATCAGTTAGCTCAACTAACACGTGTCTTGAACGAATTTTCGGATGTCATTGCCCAAAACGACTCTGAGATCGGGTGTACAACTACCATGAACCATACCATTGATGTTGGCAATTCACGTCCCATCAATCAGGCACCGAGACGTTTAGCCCCCACCAAGGCAAATGAAGTACGAAAACACGTCCAAGACATGTTAGATAGTGATGTGGTAGAGCCTAGTAACTCTCCTTGGTCTAGCCCTGTAGTGTTAGTGGCCAAGTCAGATGGTTCCACCCGGTTTTGTGTAGACTACCGGAAGTTGAATGCAGTTACGCTGAAAGATGCACATCCTCTCCCAAGGATAGATGACACACTAGATCATCTTTGGGGTGCGAATTTTTTCAGTACCTTGGATCTTCAGTCAGGCTATTGGCAAGTCCCCATGGACGAAGATTCCAAAGAGAAAACTGCTTTCAGCACTCCCGATGGATTATTCCAGTTTACGCGTATGCCGTTCGGACTCACCAATGCTCCTGCCACTTTTCAACGGTTAATGAACGCCACCTTACGCGGCTTGACCTTCGATGCCTGCCTCATTTACCTTGATGATGTGATCATTTTCTCACGCACATTTAAAGAACACCTAGACCGATTCCGTAAAGTACTCTTGGCCTTACGACGTGCAGGTCTGAAGCTGAAACCCCGCAAATGCAAACTTTTGAGACAATCAGTCCCCTACCTTGGTTTTCTAGTCTCATCCCAGGGTATTGCTGCTAACCCTGAGAAGTTTGCCCCCATTGTTTGCTGGAAGCCCCCCACCACTGTTAAGGGAATCCGGGTTTTCCTTGGTTTCACCGGCTATTATCGCCGTTTCATTGAATGCTATGCTGAAAAAGCTGCCCCTCTTGTTGCATTAACCAAGAAGAGTGCCAAGTTCGTGTGGAATACCGAACAACAGGAAGCTTTTGATTGTTTGAGAGAGAAAGTACTTGACGCTCCTGTGTTGGCCTTCCCTAATTTTGCCCGGCCATTCATTTTGGATACTGACGCATCTAACTTTGGCCTAGGTGCAGTCCTTTCTCAGTTAGATCATGCTGGCCTAGAGAGACCTATTGCCTTTGCCAGTAGAGCCCTTTCCAAGACAGAGTGTAATTACTCTTTCACCCGTAGAGAGTTGTTGGCCATAGTTTGGGCCACCCACCATTTCAGAACATACCTCGTTGGCAATCATTTTCTATTGCGTACCGATCATGCTGCTTTGGCTTGGTTGAACTCCTTTACGTCTCCCGAAGGTCAAGTTGCGCGTTGGAATGAGCATTTGGCAGAGTAGGATTTTTCAATTGAGCATCGTCCTGGTGCCCGGCACGCGAACGCAGATGCCCTTTCCCGTATTGATTTAGGTAAACCCGAAAGAGAAATTTTATCCATGGCTGGTGAAATCCTTTCGGAGGCCCACGTCTGTGCCGTGACCGTGCGGCTAGATGATGATGACCTGACCACCTGGCAGACAGCTGTCGCAGAGGACCCCGACATCAGCTTAGTCGTAAAACGTTTACTAGACGCCCGCAGTAGTGACGGCGATGACCCTCGTGCAGCTGTTCGACAAGGGGATTCGAGTACTGTACGAACACTTTTGACGCAACAGAATCAACTTTTTATTTCCAATGAAATCCTTTACCGAACTATTGATGCAACCTTGGATAAAGAATCATACAAACAACTTGTGGTGCCTACCTCTTTACGTGATCAGATGCTTGCTCTGGCCCATGATCATCCATCCTCTGGTCACTTTGGAGTAGATAGGACGTTAGCTAGACTCCGCTTAACGTGCTACTGGCCGAATATGTCTACCAGTGTTGCATTGTTTTGTCGCAACTGTAATGTCTGTGCAGTGTGTAAGAACCCCCGGCCTCTGCCTAGAGCAGAGCTTTCCCATGTTAAAGCCGGCGAGCCGTTTGAGACCATTGCACTGGACATTATGGGCCCTTTACCTACCACTGCCAACAATAATAAGTATATTCTCGTCATTGGGGATTATTTTACCAAATGGCTAGAGATTATCCCATTACCTAACATTACTGCCCAAACCGTGGCCGTGGCCTTAGTGGAACGGATTTTTGTCCGTTTTGGAGCCCCTGAGAAAATCCATTCGGACCAAGGATCACAGTTTTGTTCACAGCTGTTTCTTGAATTGTGCACGCGGTTCGATGTGAAAAAGACTCGAACGACACCATATCACCCCATGTGTGATGGCATGATTGAACGGGCCAACCGCACCATTCAGGTCATGCTCCGTGCTTTTATTGATTCAGCTGATTGTGATTCTTGGGATGAACGGTTACCACTGGTTCAATTAGCCTACAATACGAGTGAACACAATTCCACTCGTTATACCCCATTCTTTCTATTGTTCGGGAGGGAGGCCCGTCTGCCCCTATCAATGATCTGCCCAGCCCCGGATACCCTTCCCAGCTACATCACCCACACATCCTATGCGGTGCGGTTGAGAGATCGACTGACCGCTGCATATAGGTTAGTCCGGGAACATTTGGATGTTAGCCACCGTCGTGCTAAAACCAACTATGATCTCAAAGCAAACGCAGATGCTTTGAAAGTAGGACAGTTTGTTTGGCTTTACCGACACCCCCAAGCTGGCGACAGCCCTAAATTGTTCCGGTATTGGGATGGCCCGTGGCAAATTTCTGTTGTTCACTCCCCCCTAGTCTATACCATTAAACGGCTTGGCGTCCAGTCATCCCGGCGGACCACTATCATGACCGTCCACAGGAATAGATTAAAGCGAATCTTTGGCCCGGTGAACCTCCCACCTGTGGACGCCCCGGGTAACCCACCCCCCGCTCCCATCATGGCGGGAGTCACCATTCCCCGTCTGCCCTCTTCATTTACGCCCTTGTTTTAATCCTCTTCAGCTGAGTGTTCGTCCTCGCTGTTGCAGTGTCCGTAATATTTACCTAATCCTTTTCAGCTGAGTGTTCGTCCTCGCTGTTGCAGTGTCCGTAATATTTTCCTCTTCAGCCGAGTGTTCGTCCTCGCTGTTGCAGTGTCCGTAATATTTAACTAATCCTCTTCAGCCGAGTGTTCGTCCTCGCTGTTGCAGTGTCCGTAATATTTAACTAATCCTCTTCAGCCGAGTGTTCGTCCTCGCTGTTGCCGTGTCCGTAATATTTAACTATTCCTCTTCAGCCGAGTGTTCGTCCTCGCTGTTGCAGTGCCCGTATAATATTTAGCTATTCTTCTTCAGCCGAGCGTTCGTCCTCGCTGTCTCCAGCAGAGTGTTCGTCCTCTGTGGCTTCTAACCCATACATTGCTGTTTTGGTTTGTTTGTGGGTGGCTGTGTGTCTTCCCCTGTGTTCTGTCTGGTATGCAGTACCATCACGGTGCAGATGCTTCCGGCCGCGGGCCGCGAACCACCACCGCCACCACCTCCTCCTCCTCGCCAACCCATCCGTCCCCTGATGCGACGGCAGGAAGATGCGCGCTGCGTCATCCAGCGACGCCAGGTGCAGCGTCAGGCGCAGCGGCAGGACCAGCGGCCACAGCGGCGAGTCCGATCGGCCGCCTACATCGCCCGGGCTCGCCGCCATGCCGCTGATCGGCGAGCACGTCGGAGCACTAACAATCCACCTCCCCGTCCCACCCCACCCCCGCCCCCACCCCCGCCCACGCCCCCACCTCCTGCCCCCACTAGGTATAATCGTTTTCGTGATGACGTGGAGTTGGTGTCGGAGTGTGAGTTGTCCGAGTAAGAATTGTGTTACATGCGTTGTTCAATTGTCTGGTGTTGATATGTGGAATGCGTTGTTAAATTGTCTGGTGTTGGTATGTTGCGTGCGTGGCGCTGTGTGTGGTGTGCCTGTGAGCCCCCCCCCCCCGACTGCCCTATTACACTTAATTAACTTCATTTTTCTTTTTCTTTTTTTTTAAATTCTTTTTTTATGTATCGTGTACTGTGCATGTGGTGAATACGTGTTGTGTGTGAGTTGTGTATGTGATTCCCGCTTTACATTCTTTAACCATCCAGTATTTTGTTTGTTTTTCTTCTCGTGGGGACACGAGTCCTTTCCACCCAGAGAGGGGGGTAATGTTGCATGAGTCCTTTAGCCCCGTACACATTCCCGTACGCACGCACTCCCCTACACACGTTCATGCACTCCCTACACATTCATGCACCCCTTTTCCCGCTCACCCTATTACCACTTACTGCCTGTACCCCTTTTCCCGCTCACCCTAACGTTATTACCACTTACTGCATGCACCCCTTTTCCCGCTCACCCTATTGCCTCCCTTACTGCATGCACCCCCTTTTCCCGTTCACCCTATTGGCGTATTGCCACTTACTGCATGCACCCCTTTTTACTTCAACAACTTAGATATAACCAGAAGGCTGCGCTTGCGCAGTGTAGTTAGTTCTCCTAGTTGATTCTCCGAGTAGTTCTCCTATTGGATTCTCCTGTTGATTCTCCGAGTAGTACTCCCAGTTGTTCTTACAGTTGGTAGTCCTCCGAGTTGTCTTCTCCTCATAATTGCCCCCGAGTCCTCTACTTTAGTCCTCTTTGTGCTCAGTGAATATAACTGTTATCATAACCTACATTCCGTGCTGCCGTGTAAAGAGTGTGATAAGTAGAGTAGTAACGTAGAGTACAGTACCCATATATAGACGGCGTACATTGGATAACATGTATGCCTGCACGACACTTGAGTTGTTTCAGTTGTCGTTGCAGCTTTGGTGGACTCTACTGATGTCTTGTTCTGCATCTGCTGACCTGTCGCAGGATATGCTTCGGTCACCTCTCCATTCGAGTGAAAGTTACGCTCAGTCGTTTGGAAGTTTTCTCCCGCGATGCAGCGAAGACCAGGGCTACTTGCAATCTTTGCAAAACGGTCTATTCTTACAAAGGCTAATCGACGACGGCGCTGAAAAGACATCTCGACACCAAACAGCAGTCCGAAGTGAAGCAGCAGCAACTCCAAATGCCGGCGGTGATAATTCATGTAATTTGAACCAAAAAAAGGGTTTGCTCCCCACACCGGAGCTCGCGCTATTCCGCCGACTTTACTTGACACTTGACTGACTCACGACTGCCATCCAGAGCACACGAGAAGTCCATCGAACCTTCGACTCGGCAAACCTGCAAGAAAGCACCACTCCCTGCTCAATACACAGTGTTTCGGGGAATTCACCCCTCATCAGTTGAGCTTGAGTAGGCTGAGGAAGATTGTGCCTGAAGAGCACCACTTATATAGTGCTCTCCAGGCACAAACATCACCAGGGATACAAACTTACAGTAATTTGAACCAGCTGAAAAAATCGAACTCAGAAAAAAAAATATTAAAAAAATAATCATATTTGCCACATCAATGAAACTCGTTAGCTCGCTCGATAGCTTGCTCGTTAGTGGAACTGATCGCTCGTTTGTTATAGATACGCTCGTTTCAAAGCACTGCGAAGGATTTCAGTTAACCCTGTAGCTTAGATTACTATAAAGTGGTCAAAGACCGAAATCCCAATAACTGCATCCAGTGCCGAGCCACCGCTAAGGAGCTACATCTCCGCCTTGATCCTAGAGGGTGGTGGTGTTCGTACAGATGCGGAAAACTTGGCTCCACGCGAGTCTTCCGCCAACCATGAATCATTTTGCAGCTCAGAACGATGCTCGGAAAATGGTGATGCAACAGCTGCAGCGATAGAAATTGTTTACAAGTGCACACATTCTCCTCGTCGCCTACTTGGTTCTGAGTCATTCCAGAGAGCGTCGGATGTATATTGTGGACTTCTCATCTTGAGAACGAGATTGCATACTCTAGGCAAATGCACAAACAACAAAGCTACGGCACAAAAAGAACACTTCAACTGGGATGAGTTTCAGAAGAAACTTTATTCAGCCCCGTACGATCACTGAGTAGCACAAAGGTCGAGAACGGCAAGTTGAGTTCAAAAAGAAACAGAAGACTGATGCTCTACGACGACCAGCTAACTGTGTGTCATTTATCGGCACGGTCGAGGAGTCCGAATTATGCCAAAGGTCCTATTCCCAAAACCATGGCTTCGCATGTCACCAATATGACTAGATACTGAATATACAGTTAGAAAGTGCAACTCGTGGTCTGGCACGAGGAAAACATGGATGCAGTGAATGGGATTTTCGGTCTATGACCACTTGCTGGTGAGCTGATCTACTCACCTTCCGCCGTTTTAGGAGCTGCATCTGCGCTTTGATCCTTGAAGGGTGGTGGCGTTCCTACGGATGCGGAAAGCCCGACTTCCAGCCGAGTCTCACGCGAAATTTATAATTAATTAAAGTGCAACAACTAGCCACAAAACTGACAGGGTGCTAATACATTGCTCTCTAATCTACTTAAACCCAGACCTTTCTGAGTTGGAAGGCTGCTTGTTAGCTCTTCAGATATGTGTTGGAGGTGTAAGGTGGTGGAATGTCTCAGTATTCTGTCAATTGTTGTGTCTAATTGTCGCTCTTTCTGACTGTATAAATTTAGTGTCTAGTGACAGTGCTGAACAGTTGTTATTAACATGACCGTATCGATACGTCCCTTTCGTTTTTACATTTTATTATTGGCTCAACATCCGAATATCAAATTATACGGAAACTGGGAGGATTGCTGTGCGTCCCTCATATCCGGCCACATGTACTCCAGTCAGGTCGCACTGTGGATATTCACGCTTTTTCTCACACCGCCTCACACTAATCATTTAGCGCCTCTTCTTCAGTCCATATCCGTTATATGTCTGATTCATTGTACGGCCCAGGAAGATGAACGCTAGCGGGGCAGCGAATCGCTTGGCAAAAACTCAGGTTTAGCTTCCAAGGACACAATCTGTTTTAGTTTCAATGCCTTATCTCATGATCTGCAGTCAACAATGCCGCGGTGATGTTCTACAAAACACGTGTATTTGTAGTAACTTGTAATGGAAGGATCCTAGTTGGATCCCCTATCGGCGTTCCAGCTTGTCTTCAACCTTTTTGGGAATCTTGTAGCAATAATGACAATGTTCTAACCGTATTGATCCCAAGCAAGGAAAGGTAAACATTAATGATGATAATTGTGTTTCGTTGGGACTGTAGCTTTTGCTCGTTTTCGTTGCGCTTGCCTTCCCCTCTTTGGTATTTCCATAACCTTGAACCTTCCGAGTTGGAAGGCTGTTGGTTAGCGCTACGGAGATGTGTTGAAGCTAGGTGTCAGGACGTCGAATGTCTCAGTACTCTTGTCAGTTTTGTGCCTAGTTATTGCACTTTCTGACTGTATATAGTATCCAGTTACAGAGATGGAGAGTTACACTTAACTCGTATCCATATGTCCTCTTCCTTTCCATATTTATTTATGGCTCAACATCCGAGTTTCAAATTGCACACCTGATGAGCCGTCACGAACCATACGGCAAAACGTACGTCGTGTGAAACAACTTGTTTTGTAGTCAACTTGTCCATCACAATGTCATGCATCAGGAGTACTGTAGGAGTTTGGCTTTCGGCTTGTACAATTCGTTTTCGCAAAGCTTCCCATTTCTTTACTTATCTTTGATATTTTATGACCCACCCAAGTTGGGTGGTGTGCGGCTTTGCTGCATCGAATTGTAGTTAGACCGCTTTGTCAAATATCGTACTGGTCTCGTCATCGTCCAGTAACAATCGACATTCTTTGTTTCGTTGGAACTGTAGCTTTTGCTCGTTTTCGTTGCGCTTGCCTTCCCCTCTTTGGTATTTCCATAACCTTGAACCTTCCAAGTTGGAAGGCGGTCGGTTAGCGCTACGGAGATGTGTTGAAGCCTAGTTATTGCACTTTCTGACTGTATAATTATAGTATCCAGTTACAGTGATGGAGAGTTACTCTTAACTCGTATCCATATGTCCTCTTCCTTTCCACATTGATAAGTATATACTCAACATTTTCAGGATTGGCCCTATCATAGATAAATTTGTCGATGTTCCAGCAACGCCTCAAAAGCTTCGTTTATGTCATTTAAAAAATAAGATAAAAGATGACTGAGGGAGAAAAACACACACACACACACTGCACGCGCGCAAGGATATCACAAAAATGTTTACTAGTATCATGCATTACAGTTATTGTTCCTGTACTTCTCTAAGTCTAAAGATAAGAAACTAGACGTGACGAGGAACCTACTGATACTGCTTGCATGGCGAAAAGAGCGTAGTTGCACTTCTGCTAAACATCAAAAATTAGAGCGTGGCTCACCATGATCGGACCTCTAATTTAGTAATATTTTATGAACACACGCGCCCACACACACAACAAAACAATTCACGAAATAAATAAACCGAGAATAAATTTGACGAAGAAGGAACGCATACAAAAAAGAAAGAGAGAAAGGTAGCTGATTTGCATGACGAGACGAGGTGGACCTGGACGAGACGAGGTTGACATTGAAGAGACGAGGTTGGATATGAGACGAGGTTGAAGATGAGACGAGGTTGGCGGCGAGACGAGATTGACGTGACGAGACGAATGCCAGGCGGTAGAGCACGAGAATCTCAGGGTCGCGGGCTTCGGCAAATGTTGGGCGCCAATGTTGAGTCCAAACAAGAGACTGACGAAGGAACTCAGTCGGTAGAGCATCAGACTCTTAATCTCAGGGTCGTGGGTTCGAGCCCCACATTGGGCGCCAATGTTGAGTCCGAACAAGGCCAACTGAAAACGAAAACAGGTATGTTGGTTGAACGACATTTATTAGACACGGGATGACTAAGACCAGGACGAACGAAACGACTACATGGTGATTATTGAAGAGGGAGATTATTGAAGAGAGCTTATTGAAGAGAGAGATTATTGAAGAGAGAGTAACGCAATATAAAGGGCCTGGGTAACTATGGCAAACATGGGGGCGCAAGTAGCTACCATGGCCAAATGAATAATGCATGAACTAATGAAAATGAACTACATGTAATTACTTGTGGGCCTAACAGTATGTATTCCACTTTTCCTGGATGGGCCCTAGCACAGATAAATTCGTCGATGTTCCAGCAATGCCTCAAAAGGTGCGTTGATGTAAATTTAAAAAAGAGAGCACCATCATTTTACAAGTTGTTCGTTTCGGCCCACACTAACGATTATAAGCAGGATGCTGTTGAGTCAAAATGTCAGTATCACATCAGTCAGTTTTGTGCTAATTGTTGCAATTGTTGCTGCGTATAATCGCTAGTGTTGGACAAAACGGATAACTTATAAACTTATGGTCCTCTCTCTTTGTAATCCTTGGTTCTCTATCCGAGTTAAGATAAATTAGATTGCATTACAGCATTACACACAGACGCTGAGACCTCCAACGTCGCTTGAGCAGCAGGGTCGACCCACCGCTTTCCACATTTCTAGTTTATATCCTGGAGCATAGTAGATTTAAAAAACACTCGTCAGAGATACTAGCATTGAAACCATAGCGTCCACCTTTCAAAACGCGTTGTGGCCGTTTTCAAGCTACCCGTACTCGTTCAACAGTAGTATTAACGAGATAATGGCAGGAAAGTCCTTAAGGTACAATGCTATTAACAAGCCGCTCAGTAATTAATGTACAATAGAGAGGTGATAGAAACAGCACATGGACGAAGAGCTAAAGCAACAGCGATGAATGCGTGACCAATTTTCTTTTTTCATTGGCTTTTGCCTGTTAGTCACCTAACGATAAGGCCTAAAAGCACATGGGTGATGCATTTCGAGATGCTATTCAAGAGCCTGACGCGTGGCCTTCTCCTCAGTATTATTACAGTCCTGTTTCCGAAGAAACATTTTCAGCAGCCAGACACTGTGTGTTCTCTGCACCATTCATTGTGATTGGTCACACTGCCATTGCGTCCGCACGCAAACAACGGTAACGACGTATTTCCCGTATGTCACGTGATTGTCGCCTGTGATTTGACCAATGAGAGATCAAACAGCGCGGGCTGGAAAGCGCGGTCCTGCCTGCTTAAAGGTGATGGAACTGGATCCACTGCCCATCGTCAAGTGACGACGGGCAGGAACGGATTCCACTGGACTGACTCTCTACTTCATGGTCTTTCATTGGTTACTAATAAAATAACTAAAGCAGAAGAGCGACTGTTTGCAACCACAACTGTCATCATGGCGCCCAAACATTTCATCTGGAACTGGGAGAAAAGAAGCCCTTTTGTTGAACGATATCGGCGATGTGAATAAGCTCCTCCGCAAAGTTGAGGAAGAGAACTTTTATTGCCGAGTCGCTTGCGAAGGAGATCATGGACGAGCCGGTTGAGCCTCAACCAAAGCGCGCAATGCTCAGCAACCTGCAGGACCCGCGCAATTCGCCGAGGTTTCCGATCAAGACGTGGGGAAAATCCGTGGGAACAGAACAGCCAGAATGCCCGACGCCCTGTCGACAATGTCAATGGCACCACGAGAAAAAAAGCACTATGGACTACTACAAAAAAACTGTACAAGAAACCAATCACAAAATACAATGCAGGTGTGTCTGTCATGTATCTCTTTATTTGGCTTGGGTGCACACGGGAAACACGTTCGAGTCAATCATACTGGGCCAGTACCGCTGTTCATACAGCCCTTGCCGCTATTGCGGCGCGGGCTGGAATCCGCGGTACTGCCCTCGTACTCGTGCAGGAACCTGGCCTTCCTTAGTTGCAATCGCAATTCAGTCTAGGTAAATGACACTGAAGGAATCTGTACATTGCACTCGTGACCGTTGTCAGCTTGTGTGCCATCTTGCAGACGTTTAGCTATCAGGATCACCGCTTCGCTCCATAGCAATGCGAAGTCTCGTTCCTGTCCTGCTAATGGCCATTATCTGTAATCTTTGTAGAATTGAGGAGCTGGTGAAGCCTAGTCCACTCGGCTGACCTCTTATCTGGGCATAGTGCTGGATGTCAACGTGGTTCGGTGTGTAACTACAA